GACAGGAAGAAGGGCCAAGTCCAGGTGTGTTTGCATTTGGCACAAAAAACCCGGGGATCGACTGTTTTGAATGTTTTTTCTTTCGTCGGCGCCCATTCTTATTATGATGAAGCGATGATTTTTAAATGGATTTTCTTAGCGGAACTTATCAGTTTTAATTGGGTTTTTGGTGTTATGGTTAAGGTTGTTGTGGGGGTGATAATGGATGTTTATTGGGTTGGGTATTTTATGAAGAAGGGGTAAAAAGATTTTTTTTGCAAAGTTGAACATGTTCCCTTCTGTTGATTCTCAAAAAATCAAAAACGGTAAATTTTTTTTTGTTTTTAAATAAGTATGAAAATATTCCTTTAAAGTTTTTTGTCTGTTGTATGTATCGGAAAACCTTTTTGTAAGTCGGTATATCAATAGCAATAAACCACTTTAGCCCTGTACTTAACCTTCAACTTATAGGCCAGACTCTAGTTTCCGCTTTGTTACATAACTTTTACGATTGCTTGTTGCCAGTATCTTTTAGCTATTGTTGGACAAGTTTATCTTGTGCGTACGACAATTATAAACGCCCATCCAAGATGGTTTCTTCAAGCTATTTGGCAACAATAATAAGCATAAGGTGCAGGTGTTTTAATCGGATTGAGTGGGGTAAATAGGTTTTGTTAATGAGGTTATGTTAGTCATTATGATGGGATTTTAATTTTTTTACATGGGGCTTAAATTTGGGCTTTTTCGGATTTTTAAGACTATTTTTTGATTTTAAATTTAATTTTGGATTTCACAGTGCAGAATCAAAAAATTTAAAATTTTGAGTTTCCTCAATAGCCCATTTTTGAAAAATCTTCAAAATTCAGCTCAAAGTTGACCAAAAACGAGGCTGGTATAATCCCGTGGCGTTAAGTGATGAGTAAAAAGAAAAGTGCGCCGATAAACATATATGAAGATAGATTGATCATAGTTGAGGTGCGAGAAAGAAGATACCAAATCAAAGGGTGAAATTTGGGTGGAAAAGCGAACAAGCGGTTCTTTCGAACGCTTATGCATAATTTTTCATTATTTTTGTTTTAGGTATAGTTAAAGGGATTGTATTGTAATAGGTATTGAACAGGAGGTAATTGAATTTTATAGCTTATTTTGTAAAATACGATTTTAAAAACACGAATGGTAAGATATTTGTTACAAAGTTAAAGTAGATTCAAATAATGTAAAATAAGGTAGGGTGGGATAGGATGGGTAGGCAAGGGTATGGAAGGTAGGGTAAGATAGTATAGAATGAGGTAGAGTAGGGAAAAATAAGGTAGAGTATGGTTTTTAAAGTAATAAAAACCTTTTTCTCAAAACCTTTTATTTAGCAAAGATACCCCCTATACCCATGCTTAATATTCACTTCCGCGCCGAAAATATTAATTTTTTGCTATTCCCTTAACAATATGAAATTTGCATTAAAACCGTGGTGTTGTCTCAAAAATTTTGGACGGAAATTTAGTGTTAGAGACAATGGCCGGCCACACAATTAAACGCCGTTTTTGGATGGGTAAAATCAACGGTTGTTCTGGTGAAAACAGGGTCGTTCATTGGGTTTTATGAGCAAAAAATGATGGGGTTTTGACAGGTTTGGGGGTTTTTGGATTTTGGGGGGAGGTAAAAGTACAAATTTGAGAATTTTTTAAATGGGGGGGGGGAATAAAATTTGATAACACCAAAAATATTTTGAAAATTTGAAGTTTTTTAACGTGAAAATTTTTTTTGTGCAAAATGGATTTTACAGTACTGTGTGTCTTAAAATTTTGCACGATTTTGATGACATTCTTTATCATAAAATCCTCACATCCTCTCTACAAAAAGTAATTCGTGCAAAATTCATATTGACCACATATTGACCATCTTAGCCACCCTACTTGAAAATCCGTTATTGACCATCCAAGATTACCCAAAAACTGAATAATCCCTCAATTTACCGGAAGTGTTCATCTTGAGTAAACAGAGCCATTCAAGGACTGAAAATTATTTTCGCGAAATAGAACGCGAGTGTGAGAGACTGTAGACGAAATAGTGTGTTGAAGTGAGAGACGGGCCAAATCATGGACCCTACTTCACAGGCGCAAGTTATACGGAAGGCATATAAGAGGTGTATGTTATATGGGAGTGTGGCAACGTTTACCAGCACTTCACTTTTCGTCGCCGTTTTGAGGTTACATTTGGGGATGGAAAGTTATATGGGAAGGAGAGGGGGGGGGGATCAATATTTTTTTATTTATGATTCATATGGTTTGTGGATCATAAAATCGTTGAAAATCCTTTGTATCGAACAAAGTTAAAATCTGTAAGCGACTCGTTATACCGCAGTTGCAATGTAGTTCCTAGTTACCTCAAACTAGACTTCGTATTTCACCCCAAATTTTCTTCAATAATAATTAACACCAGCCTGAAAAAAAGGGCTCACATCTGCCGGGCACACGCGTCACCGCGTTTTTACCTCACTCAAACCTGACCCTCATTATTCTCCCGTTTTGAATCCCCGCAGTGCCTTTAAGCGGCTACCGCTTTGCGCGCCTGATTCAAGGCCTAAAAAATAATCGAATAGTAAATATAAGAGAGTAGCGGAAGTGGCGGGTGGTTTGGGTGAAAGTGATAAGAATGGGGTTTAGTACTGTTTACATTGTTTTTCAAGGGTATTTTAAAATACTGAACCGGGCTAGGGTAATTTTTAAATCAGGCGTAAGAGGTGTGAACAGATTTTTTTACCTTTTTTTTAATTTTAATTATTTTTTGAAATTTTTTTTATTTTTTAATTAAATTCTGATTTTTTTTTCATATTTCTAAAAAAGGGTCATCATGACGTATTTTTTAATTTTTAGTATTTTGAATTAATTTATCTAAAGTGACCTATTTGATTGTATTTTTAATATTCCAGTATGACATTTAAAATATGTCATGGTGACATATTTTTAGTAATTTTTAGATTGAAAAATCGTTTTTTATAAGCTGGAAAAGCAATCTTCTGCAGTGAAAAAAAAATTATTTTGCTTTTTGAAGTTTTTTAAATTTAAAATTTTTTTTGAAAATTTTTTATTTTTTTGATATCAAACCCAATGAAAACCTTAATTACCCTCACAAATTGACCCAAAGTTTCCTCTGTAAATCGCAGCGTCTAGCAAACATCGCTCTCGTTGTCGTATATCCTTATACATATGTTTTGTTCGTATTAGATTCAGTCTCGAAAAAGTTTTTTTTGTTCTCGAGATTAATCTGCCGCTTTCTTTTGCTGTCACTTTTGTGTTATAATTTATTGAACTGGAGAATAAATTACTCCATCAGCCAGTTTTTAAGAGCGAGGGGGGTTGTTTTGAGAGGTTTTGGGGGGGGGGTGATATTGTAGTACTTTACAATAGAATTTGATACAGTATAGTATAATAGTAAAAATGATTAAAAATTTTGTGTTTTAGGCTGTGCGAGTGATTTTAGTTGGTATCAAGGGAAAATGAAAAAAAAAATTTCAATTTTTTTTTGAAATTCTTGTATAGTTTTTTACAGCCTAGGTTATTCATTCAAAAAAAATTAATAAGGGGTACTTTTAAAATATTTTTCAAACATTGACAATGATAAATTCGCTCCCACAACTTTCGAAAAAACCAAAAATCTCCAGAAATTCCCGCAAACTTTTTCCGTTTTGTTTTACACTTCCAGTTTGACTGGGAAAACCATTTGTCTAAAAGACGAATTATTCAAATTTCCTTTCTTTTTTTTGTTTTTTTCGACTGTTGCGTTCGCTGGTGAATTTGACTTGGCGCTCACTTCTCGCGAGAGATGCCAAAGAACATAAAGGGTAGGGTAGGGTAGGGTAGGGTGGAGTAGGGTAGGGTAGGGTAGGGTAGGGTAGGGTAGGGTAGGGTAGGGTAGGGTAGGGTAGGGTAGGGTAGGGTAGGGTAGGGTAGGGTAGGGTAGGGTAGGGTAGGGTAGGGTAGGGTAGGGTAGGGTAGGGTAGGGTAGGGTAGGGTAGGGTAGGGTAGGGTAGGGTAGGGTAGGGTAGGGTAGGGTAGGGTAGGGTAGGGTAGTATTTTTTTAATTTCAATTTTTATTCACTATAAAAATCAAGATTACGAACATCAGGGCGGAGCCATGTGATGATCGTTTGTTTTCCTCTCTTTCTCTGTCCAAAAATACACGCTCTCTCGTTTGAAATACGAATAAGACAGTGTATTAGCAAGCGAGGCCTTATTATAACGACATAAAAGATGAACAATAAGGGAATGGGATTATAAGGTTATTATAACGGAGAATTTTGTTTTTTTTCATAAATTCTGTTATTTGGGGTTATTTATATTGTAGTAGGTTTTTTCGGTCGTACAGTAAAGATTGGGCTATAATTTCTTGATTTTCTTGTTGTTATTGATAATAAATTATAACTTCTTATTTCTAAACATTTTTAAATAATTTTGACCATTTACACAGCTTTTAAATCTAATTTAACTTCAAAAAACTCAAAATTAGACCGTTTCAAAACCTTTACAACCAAATAACTACCCTAAAGCCCCAAGCTTTACAAGTTTAAAATTATGTCACGGGTGTTATAAATCCATTTTCCGAAAATTATTATTTCTCCGGTCGATTTACGACTTCGTAAACGTCCACTTGTCAGTACTTATGGCTTTACAATCGTTTTTGGCCAGCCGTTTCTGGTCGATTTTCTCGAGAGTCGTTGATTAATTGGGCGCTGAAATTTGTCACAATTCTTATATGTTGCTTTAACACTTTTTATATTCAATTTTTTTAAGAAGACGATGCATGGAACGTATGTTAACTTCTTTGATGACGTATTTTTTGGAATTTCTAAAAATCTTGTCAACATGACACATTTTCTAAATCTTTTATTTAATTTTGACAAAATTGTTTTATGGCCATTATACCTTTAAAAAACGTAATAATTTTACCTTAATTTATGCCGTATATCGCGATAATTTTCGATGTTTTTATCAATTATATTATCCTTGACATAAATTTCAGGTCGAATGTATTCGGCCGTCGGACTGTACATATTACTGTGGTTAGCACAACCTATACGACAAATCAGAGCAGATAATGGTATGTTTTTTTAATTTTTTACAATAATTTTTAGTTTTTGTCGTATTTTAGATTTAAATTTTGAAAATTTTGAAGTTTGACATAGTTTAGGTATAAACTTGGATATGAATGGGTGTTTGAAGGTGTAGTTGCCGCAAAGGATAACATTTTTAGCTGTGTCCTTGACTTTTTTTGATGAGGCTTCTATAATGGTTTGGTAATTAATCGTTTTTGATCGAATCTCGATATTATACATGAGTAATATAGCGTTATTTTGCCTTTTTTTAGTTTTTAACAAAATTTAGGTAACATTTTATATAAATTAGGTAACAAAGAATGTTATTTAAGATTTAAAAACATAAAGATTTGATAAAACAAGCATTTTAAGACTAGAAAAACTTACGGCGAAACTAATATAAAGCTTGCTAGATCAGGTACGGCGGGTTATCTTATGCTAATATCTCAGCGGTGTTTAATGTTCTCTAGAGAGTTAAATTAAAAACCGTGTTGTTTTGGGTTTATTACCGTATCCATCTACCGTTTTACAATAAGATTTGGTATGGGAAAGGGACGAAATTTGAATTTCTGGAAAATATTTTTTAAAATCAAAGTGGTTTTGGATTGTTACACAGTTTACAGATATTGATTAGCTGAAGTCATATGATAAAGTTGATAAAATAGATGAGATATTGAGAGATTTTGGGGTTTCTGGCATGGATAATATAAATTTTGGTAAGAAAATTGATTTTTTAGGTAACAAATGAATTTTTTTGAAATGAGGGTTGGTAGGAGGAAAGTATATGTCTTGGGCACACTACCTTATAAAGTATTTTTAAAATTTTGTTTTGTGTCAAAAGTTGCGAGCTATATTACACAGGGTATTCGTTTTGATGCCTTGCATCGTGCAAACCTCAAAATTGAAAAAATGCGTATTTCAACCCAAAAAACCTCTAATAACTCTAGTTTTTGCATATTTTTGCATTCTCAACTCGAAATTAGTGCCCACCAACATTGAAATGGCCAAACAAATGTGGAAATCACATTACTTTGGCCAAAAACCACCTCAGTCATCAGTCATAGTTACGACCTCCAACTGCGAACTTGAGGCTCTCATTTGTTATATGCGGTTTATCCGCTTCCTGAGAGATAGTTTTTGATTGGCACGAGCCGGATCTTGACGCTGAGATAGCGTTGAGATCGTGGAGAGTGGGGTGGAGTAAAAGAGATGGGTATGTTAAGTACTTATATGAATTGGCTTTGGGTTTATGGGGTAGATGGGGGTGTTTAACTGATGAATTTGGAGGAATAGTGAAAAAGTAAATTTAAAAATTTGTACTGCAATAAAAACCACTTTATGTAGGCTTATAAAATTAAAAAGAGACAAAAACTATAAATATCTTTATATTATCATAGTACAGATTGACCTAGGCGTAAAGCGAAGAAGATTTTGATGTTTTTGACGTGACTATGAGCCAGATGGTTTTACGTAAGGACAAACGGTTTGAAGATGAGCCTTGATACGTAACTTCTGGTAAATTAATGTCAAATGATAGGTGTGATGGTTGAGTCAGAAAGAAAATCTTTAAGGCGGTGGTAAACGTTTTAAAGGTCTCTTTTGACAGTTTTCTGGTCGTCATTGGCTATATAAGACATTATATAACCTGCTAGGGCTGGTGCAATCAAAATTTAAAAAAAAAAGATGATATTTTAAAAACTGGCATTTCAAGCTGTTTTTAATACCTAAAAAACCATTTTTGTTACCTAAAAAGCCATTTTTAATACTTAAAGCTTCAAAAATTTTAAACTTTTGGCGGATACACAGCATCTGTTGTAGTGATGTTTGCACACCGCGAATACCACGACAGTGTATCTGATTTTCACCTCGGATTGAGTGAGTGTTTTATTTTTGTCTTTGCATTTTTTGATTGTGCCGCTCTCGACAAACAATTCTGCTTTGTAAATCTTGGCGTTTTTTTGGCGTGGTGAGGCGGTAAAACAAAGGAAAACAGAGACTGACAAGCAAGTTTTGAAAAGCGTGTAAGCGATATCTGGGCTGAGATTAGGGGAACTACAAGATTTTACATAAGTACAGGTTTTTTTAAGTTGAAACTTGAAAAAATGCCATTTTTTGATTGTGAACTTTGATAAGGTTTGATAAATTTCTAAAACAACATTTTGATGTATACTAATTGTTATAAAACTTCAAAATATGACATTTAAAATTAAAATACACCTAAAACTTGTTTGTCTACCTATTGATTTCTAAAAACTTACCTGTTGATGTGTGAAAACTGATAAAGAAATTAATTCTTATCATTTCTTTCCCATGAAGATTATTATAAGAACATGCAAAACAAACATAGAAGCCTTTATGCGGTCAACTACACCTTCTGCTGACATTGATAATAAATTGATAAAGTAAATGTCTTAATAAATTTTTCATAGACATTCTATAGTACGGGTAGTTTACTACAGTATGACTGAAAAGTTATAATATTATCAGAAAAGACAATTTTTACAAATTTTGAAACTAAAGAAGATATTTAAAAACAAAAATAGTATAAAATACATTTAAAATTAAAAATACTTGTTCAGCGAAGCCAGTAATCAGAGAGCATCCACTTGACGTATTAGTGGACAAAAATGACCCAGCTACGTTAAGATGTAATGTAACTGGAGATAATGTAAAAATTACGTGGTACAAGGATGACCAACCGGTTAATGTTGGAAATGCTCATCGACTCATCTTGCCAAATGGATCGTTATTTCTTCTCAGGGCTGATCATGGTATGTTCTGGTTGATTTTGTAAAAAAATGTGAATTTAAAAATATTTTGTGGATTTAAGATTTTGTGACGAAATGTCAATTTATGATTATTGGAAAATTGAATTTTGTGACATTAAGTCATTTTTTTATTTCTTGATACTTTTAGGCTTTTTATCTAAGTTTATGACAATATAAATTAATTGGTAACATTCTACTAAGTTTTATGTCATACTTTCAGACCTAGGAACATATCACTGCACAGCAACCAACGATATGGGTACAGTTAGTTCGCAATCAGCTCACGTTCGCCAAGCCAGCTTACGTGAAGAGTTTAGAGTACGGCCACATAATGTGAATGCTGTACTTGGTCAGAAGGCCGTATTGGAGTGTTCACCTCCGCGAGGATTCCCAGAACCTTCAGTTAGCTGGAGGAAAGATGACGAACAGTTGGAGGATGACAGAAGATTCCAACTTGATCCTAGTGGCAATTTGGTCATTGAAAATGTAAGGTTTATTTAGTTTTTTTGATAGTTTTAGGTAGACTCTAAAAGTTTTTGATTGGTTTTTTGAAAAATATTGATTATTTTGGTATCATATTATAGTAAAAAAATTTTTATGTAACCTACTTTCTCTTCAGGTCCAACGCTCCGACTCCGGAGTCTATCAATGTGTAGCTATGAACATGGTTGGAGAAAGAGTATCAGGTCCAGCACGACTGTCAGTGTCAGAGAAGCCACGGTTTTTGGTAGAGCCTAAAGACGCCTTAGGCGATGTGAATACATCAGTAGTCTTTGACTGTCGTGTTGCTGGAGAACCAAGTCCAACGATCGCGTGGAAGAAGCGGAATTGTGTGCCAGTTGTGGAAGGAGCCAAGTGCTCGGATTCAATGCCAATTGGCCGCGCTTACATCACGGATGATAGCCGGGGACTTCAGATTGATAAGTAAGGGATTTTCGAATTTTAAGCTAATTGAGGCTGTTCCGGCTTATTATTTGAGACTTTTGTTAAAGAATTACTATTACAAAAAAAGTTTATTCGAAGTTTTATGTTACAGTAGTATATTACAGTAGGAGAATACTTTTTTTATTACATAGTGTAACTCACTTACCTTCATTCCAAATTACCGTACCCTACTAACCCTTTTATCCCATCAAAATTAGAATAAATTATTAGAAATACATTAGATAAGGAACGGATCATGTTTTAAAAGCATCAGTGTGGCCATTTTTTGTTTCGTGGACAAAGTAGAGATCTTGTTTTATATTTTTCAATTTTTTATTGGACTTAAAGCCGAAATTTTACAGTTTAGCGGCGATTTAAAAGTTTTTTTTATTGCTTTGCTGTTTGCAGTTTGTTTTGAATGTTAAATTGATAATAATTTTAAAAATGTTAAAATTTTTGGCGATTTTGAGAGGCGTAAGGTTTTAAAATAATAGGTTTTATCGGGGTAAAATGGGAATTAATAAGTAGATGGTGGATTGTTTGTGAGTTTCAATTTGATATTCTGCTATCGCGTATTTTACTTTAGAATATTATGTAATATTTAGTTTTAATTTTATTAACTGTTAACTTTTTTGAAGGCTAATTGCAATAACTTTTACCTTTCAGGGTCCAACCAGAAGACGAAGGCGACTACGTGTGTGTAGCCAAAAACAGTGCCGGAGAGATCGAAACTTCAGCCAAACTGCGAGTACAAGCACCACCGAAGATAGTCAAAGGGCCCAAGAATCAACAACTAAAGCCAGGAGACGCGGCCGAGTTTGAGTGTGAAGTTACCGGTCGGCCAAGTCCAGGCGTTGTCTGGAGCAGAGAAGGCGAACGGCGCTTCACGTTGATGAGCGGTCAAGAAACGCAGAACGGCCGAATCGAAGTTTCTGCGTTAGGAACGTTAAGGATCAAGGAGATCAACGAGTTGGACGTGGGACATTATGTATGTGCGGCTGTGAATTCGGCTGGAAGTGCGTTGAAGAAGGCTATGTTAACATTGGAGATTGACGGTAGGTGGACGGATTTTATTTTTTAATGAATTAGGGGTGTTTTTGAGGGAATGTGAAGTTGTAAAATACGATTTCAGTTTCTACCGAGGTAGACAATTTTGAAGAAATTTTTTAAAAAAATATTAAAAATTATTAAAACTTTTTCTTCAAGACCTTTTTCCTAACTTTTACTATGTTTGTTTACCAAAAACAATACGAAAAATATGTTAATGAATCGTCCGGAAATGCGCCGAACTGTCTTAACTTTTGGGAATAGGTGCCAATTTCCCAATTAAGAGGGCTGATCTCAAGGAAGAAGTCACTTGAGGTCAGTGAATAATTTGCACGAAAATTGGATGCAAAACAAAACAATGGGCTGAAGTGCGAACAAGGCGTATTATAATATCGAGTTAATTTGGGCCAAGAAAAACGGTTTGAAAATGATTAGAACTGACGGGTGGGGGTGGTTTTAGGGGGTTATTTTTATTTTTTTGCGGTTTTTTGAAATTTAAAAAAATTTTATTTTAAATTTATATTTGACTTTTTTTATTTTTTAAGGATTTACATGTACCTATGACAGTCTGACATGTCTTATTTACTTCGAAAATTATTATACCTAAAAACTCATTTTTCTAAAAACTTGTCAAAACCTTCAGCTGTGGTCGATTTTTCAAAATCTTGCGCATTTCATAATGCATTAGCTATACTCGACCATAATCTTGAGTTTTATCTGAATTTTTAATCTTACCCTAATATGTTTTCAATTTTCTCGTGAAACCGTTCCATCAAACCGACTGTCCCCAAGAAGGAGGACGCATGTCTAATATCATGCTAGGGGTTCAACTTTTGGTATAATGAGCACGAACATTACTTTTATGAATTTGAAATATGGTTTCAAGGTTTTGATGTTTTAAAGGGGGTTTTGAAAATATGTCGTCATTAGGTTGCTTAGACTAGGATTTAATCTAATTCTTTGTAGGTTTATAATAGGATTCAGTTTGGGTCGAGAAGTAGGCTTCTGCAATAATTTAAAATTTTATCTTTGATAGGCCATTTGCTCTGTATTTCGACTGAAAATAAAATGTCAGAAAAGGTATTAGATTTCTAGTTATGATAGTAAAAAATGAAAGGTCTTATAAGGCAACTTTTTCTCATAGTACTTGACTTTTCTTTTTGGAATGTTTACCTTATTACTTTTTTTGTTTTTTTATAGAAATATAAGCTTCTTATTGATGTCCATTTGCATAGCATTTCTTTAGGTAGTATTTGTTGTATACTATTCAATTTGTAAAGAAAATTACTTCAGCTTTGACCTTAATTCCAAATTTAAATATGTTTTGTTAGAGACTTACTATTTAAATTTGAGAATGTACTGTTAGTTTTTAATTTTGATAAGTCTGAAAATTATTCTTGATAAGTCAGTCAATTATGATTTTGTTTACATTCTGTAGATTAGAATGTCATTCAAATATATAGTCGACTCTGTTTGACTAGTCGCTTAATCCTCATGAGCATTTTTTTGCACCTGCACGGCGGAACGGATTGTCAGAAATCATATGCTTGACAGAGTAATTTGAAAGGTCAATATGCTGGTCAATATTGTCATGAAATTTAAACTGTCGACACTTTAGATAAGAAATAGGACTTGCTTTTGAATTTTATTAATTTTATGTTAGTTGTTTAAGAGTTTATGAAGTTGAAGGAGTCTAGCTTGGCTATTATGGTATTTTGAAGGCCAGCCTGGAAGTTTGATGAATGTTTAAAGAACTATGAACTTTTACTAGTTTTTAAGCCTCAAAATTAGTTCTAGATTTTAAAAATTCAAAAAAGGTTGTTGTTTTATTACTGTGACACTCTTGACCGGGCCAAATGCTGAGGCATCAATTTTCACTTTGTTTAGCTGGCGGTGCGCCGTTTGAATAAAGCGACGCGAAATTGGCGGGGTCCAAAATCCGCCGCATCAAATTCATTGTGCACATGTGCAGATTGTTGACATTGGCAGTTAAACGGTTTGGTCCGGCTGTTGGCTTAAGATTTAAATTTTAAATCTTAAGTCATTTTTGATTCTTTTGGTTTTGATTACTGTAGTTATTGTGAGATACTGGTATATTCGCTTTAAGTATTGTAATATCAAATTGTTTTGTGTTACACATTTTTAGTGCTAAAAGTAGTTTTGGGTACTATAGCTCTCTTATAGTGTTCCAATCTTATTTTTCTTCTAAACAGTTACTGTCAGAGTAAACTCTAAATTTTCTAAAAGTAATTTTTTGGTACCACTGCCCCACAGCTGACTTGTTGATTAGACCGTGTAATTTGAGTGTTGATTTGCGGCTAATTGGGCGCAGCGATTTTTTGCGGTTTTTCTTTATTTGGACCGCCACCACTTGTTGGGTATGGACGGATTAGGGCGCGGTAATCGGATGCAATGGCCATTTTTGGTGCTTTGCGGTTTTTCGATTAATTGCAACGCGAGACGCAACACACGGTTGTTTAATTTCCGCTTTTCATAAGCCAAGTTCAGGCCTGGGATGGGATGGTCATTTTGTGAATTTTTAGGCTTTTAGGTGTTATTTTATGTATTAGAGGTTATTTTTTTGGTTTTTTGGGCTTGGATTTGTGTTTTGTGGTTTTGAGGAAAGCATACTGTATTTTAGAAGAACTGTTAGCTTTTTAAATTGTTAAAACGGCTTTGTCTTTATTTTTTTGAAGCTAGGAAAATGTTGGTAGCTGAAGACGGTCTAATTACTTAAATTGGCCAGATGGTCATTTTTACCGTAATAAATTTGAACCCATGTCCTTGTTTATGTTTTACCGTTCGCAAAGCTTCAAATTCAACCGGTAGAATTCAAATGAAATGCAACAATAGACCACGGCAATCCGAAACCGTTTCTCCCGCAAATCCGCGTACTCTGGGATGCCACACAACCTTATTGTTCAGAAACAATACAGTTCTCTTAATTTTGCATGGCTTTTTATTCCGCTCCGACTCATTTTGAACCGTTTGTGCTATTGTTCAGGCTAATATGGATACTGTAGGGGTTTTCGGTGAATTTAACCTTGTTTTATCGATCTGTAGGCGGGTTTATTGAGTGCTAGGCTTGCTATATTGGCTGGTGATCTTGATTGATTGTCTAGTAGGTTTGTTATACTTATTTTTTGTCACCAGTTGTAACTTTGAAATGAGGAATAAATGAAATGAAATGAAATGAATTTTTCTCTATTTCGGTTGACTTTTTTTTTATCTATTGACTGGTACGACTTTTATTGACTGCTATGCCTTTTCTGACCAGTCGTCTTTCAATCATCTGTTGCACATTGCGTGTGAAGATTTGAACGCTTCCACGGGCATTAGAATGGGCTTCATGGTTTGAAGGTTATCGGACTTGATGGGGCTATAATAACCGTTTCTTATAAATTCTTAATTCATTCTGAATGTTGATGGACCTTATGGGCACTTTGTTGCTTTGTTAGTATGTCAAGTTTAGAGACAGTTTTTGCAAGTTTTCTTAAAGTTTTGAGTATGTGTTAAACGTTTGAGTATGAAATACAAAAAGTCATAGTAAAAAGTAGTGTTTTAAACTACCAGACAGACACTATCATAGCGTTTCAACGTTTCAAAGCGTAGTTGAATACGGAAGCAGGAATGTATTTGAATATCGAAACGTCTTTGATAATGGAAACATCACTTGACGTGAATCTCATGTAGAAAGTGCATTATCATGACTTTTTACACCAGCTGATTGGCCAAGAGCTTGTCTATGTTCCGGAAATGTTTCGTTTGATCTTTCGCTCTTCTTGTCCCCGGCGTTCGAATATTTTAACTGCAAGAATCTAGTATTCTCACTTCTAAATATTGTTATTTATCTTGTCTTTGTTTATTTTTACAGTGTTTTGCTATACTATTGGCTTGAGCTATACCTATTGACTTGAGCTATACCTATTGGTTTGTTGATGGTCGTAAAGGTTTTTGTACGTACTACAAGGCCTTTTGGAGCTAACTAATTTGATTCTTTTTTGCCCACTATGAAAGCCATTTTTTGATAAACCTACTCGACCTTACATATTATCTTTGGTGCCAAAGTTTGTGCGATCAAAAGGTAAACAGAGTCCATTTATGTACGGGGGAAACAGGTGAACGCGGGTTAATGCCCACGACAAACATCGTAAATGCTGATAGAAGTTTGTTTTGCAACAGGTTTGCAATAACTTTATTCGCTTTAACTACACACATAAGATAAAGAAAGCTTTTTTTTTGTTTTTACGGTTTTGGAGTATAAAAAGTTGCGGTTTTACTAAAGTTGCGAAAAAAGGAAGTCGCGACAATATTTTTGTATATGTTTTTGACTTGTTTTATTAGGATAGTTACTATAGCATAGTTACTATAGAATAGTTACGAACAGTAGGTTAAAGTAAAAGTGCATTATTCACTTGGTAGTTTACTGTACTTTGCACTTTAAAAAAGGCTTTAAGATTCTTGTTAGAGTAGTCAACATAAACGAAACTCTGGACATGGTTAACTATAGTAGAAGCAGTGAGTGACCAGCGGTTTTTCCTTTTGTTCGTAAACTCTAAATTAAATTAACAAGAGTTTTTTGGAGGAAATCCTTTAGCAAATCCCCCACCTAAGAGTGCATTATTCTTCCGGAACAAAAACGCGCAAAACTCATTTAGAAAATTGAAAAAAAAACTTAGGAGGTACGTGAAATGGACATCTTGTTACATTAGCACTGATTTATCGGTTTGAATGGGCTTTATGATTACTAAGTTGGCCTTATGGTGATATTTAACTTTTTTTTGTGGTTTATTTTCAATTCGTGTTTTACATTTTTTGGTTTGTTAGTCAAATTTTATAGATTTGATCACAAAATGTCTGTTTCCAAATATCACTGTACCTAATATTGATTAACAAACAACCACTACTCTCAAATATCTTGTAAATGGCCCATTGTCGCGGTTGTCGTATTTGGGTATTAATTGGGGGTCCGCAAAACAAACGACCGGTTAGAATGCAGATTGGGCTGGCGGTGCACATGAAACGCAAAATTAT